GTGGAGATCACCACGGAGACCAGGTGGAGATCACCACGGAGACCAGGTGGAGGACTCCAGCTGGTCTCCTGTGGAAGCAGGACGTAGCTGATGGGCGGGACCGTGGGCGGAGCAGAAGCGGACTGATTTAGGAGAAGGAGAGGTTGGATCCGTTGGAGATGTGGGAGGTGACTGATGTGCTCCTGCTGAGGCCTCCATCACTGCCGCCCCCACTGGGGCCCCCAGAGGCCGTCCTCCTCAGAGGCTGGGGGCTGTTCCTGAGGGCCATGCCTGGGCCCCTGACGCTCAAACCTCCCCCTCCGTAGCCGCCCTGTGAGGAGGAGGAGGAGGAGGAGGCAGAGGATGCAGGGGAGCAGGAGAAGGAGATAGGAGGAGGAGGAGCAGGAGGAAGGACGGCCAGGGACTGGGAGGAGGCGTGGTAGGAGAGCTGCTGGAGGCCCCTGGATGGATGGTGGGAGTAGGGAGCCCCCCCTCCTGCTGAGGGCCACTCCCGGACTCGCTCGCGCTCTCTAGAGTCCCGGTCGTCTCGGTACAGCTGCGGCGTGCTCTGATGGTGCTGGTAGTGCTGCTGCTGATGATGATGGTGATGATGGGAGGAAGATGAGGATGAGGGGGCGTGGCTTCGGCCGCTCTTGCTCAGCTCACTGTCCCTGATGAGGCCGTGGGCGGAGGCCACAGACTCGGCCCGGCTGAAGCTCCCGCCGTGGTTCTGACTGTGCCAGGTGGGCGTGGCCAGAGAGTTCTGGACGCTGTGGCTCCAGTGGCTGCCTGAGCGTGGGACGGGCCGGGACGGCCAGCCCCCGGAACCGGAGGACGGGCTGGGTGTCGGGTAGCCCTGACTGAAGGCCTCAGCAGAGATGCCCGTCAGCGCCATGTTGCTGAAGCCCAAACGCATGCTCTCCGAGTCGAAGGCCTCGATCTCATGGGCCTGGCGCTCCAGCAGGGTCCGGATCCGCTCGGAGCGTTCGTTCTGAAGGGAAATCATCTCCTCCTCGATCTGAAGGAGAGAACGGGATGTTAGAACCCTGTCGGGATCTGGCCCTGGTTCTGCAGGATTCATGGATGGATTAGGACCCAGAAAACCCCTCATTCATTTCTGCACATTCTCACTGTCAGGAGAACCAATGGCACCAAGTCAGGAACCGACCCATTTAGCTTTGGTTGGTCCTGAAATCAGACTACTGTCTGGCGTCAGCTGAACATCCAGGAACCAAAACAGCTAAACTAGAGAATCAGACGGCTAAACTAGAGAATCAGACGGCTAAACTAGCGAATCAGACGGCTAAACTAGCGAATCAGACGGCTAAACTAGCGAATCAGACGGCTAAACTAGCGAATCAGACGGCTAAACTAGTGAATCAGACGGCTAAACTAGAGAATCAAACGGCTAAACTAGAGAATCAAACGGCTAAACTAGCGAATCAGACTAAACTAGCGAATCAGACGGCTAAACTAGGGAATCAGACGGTTAAACTAGGGAATCAGACGGCTAAACTAGGGAATCAGACGGCTAAACTAGAGAATCAGACGGCTAAACTAGAGAATCAACTGATACTAAAGGCTAAGCTAGCTGTGCTCAGGTTGGAGTCGTCGATGGGAGCAGAGATGCAGCTAACTAGGACTGGCCTGGAGAACCAGGCTTTAGAGCCTCCATCACTGTATGACCTTCGGTCTTTGGGGCCCCTGCAGAGACCCCGTGGCGGGGAGGAACGGGGCCAGAAGCGGATCGTACCCTCTGCTCCAGCAGGGCGCGGCGGATTGACACCCTCTGCTCCAGCTCCTTGGCCTCGCGCTCGTGTTGCCCGTCCGTGTGGATCTTGATCTTGCTCTGGTAGGCGTTGAGCAGCTCCAGCTCCTGCTGCAGCTGCATGCGCAGCCCCTGGTACTCTGCTTCCTGGGTCTCATCCAGCCGCAGCTGCAGGGACAAACATCACGGAGGGTTATCATCCGGCCCGCTGAGGTTCTGGACCGGGTTCTGGACCGGCTGCACTTGCCTTGCTCACAGCCTGCGTGGACAGCATGTCGTTGACAGAGTGGTCGTACTGCTCGGCCAGGATGGCCAGCTTCCGGGTCTGCTCGTCTTTGAGCCGCTTCAGGACCACCTTGTGCTCAGACTTGGGGGTGGTCTCCAGCAGGTGGTTCCGTAGAGCTTTGTACTGCCGGGTCTGGATCTTGCAGGTCTCCTGGAACTGCCGTTTAATCTGCGCCTCTTTGGACTGAAACAGACAAAGGTTAGATTCCCTGTTTCAGAGGAACGACTAGAAGAAGCTTCTAGAAAGTTCCATGAACGATCGCACAGCGACTAGTTTCACATGTTTAAAGTAAATCTCCAGAACTTTCTGGAGAATGTTCAGAAACCTCAGGAGAGTTCCTAAAATTTATTCCTAAATGTTTCCAGGGAGGTTTCAAAACATTTGGGACGTTTCCAGGAAGTTTCCAGGATCCTGGAAGGTCCTGCATACCTTGAGGCTTTTGGGCTGCTGCCGAACCTCCACGGTGTGCTTCTGCCGGAGCTCCTCCTCGCGCCGCTTGTTGTACTCCATCTGGTTGGTGAGCTCGGTCTGGTGCTGGGTCCGGATCAGCTCGGCCCGGGTTCTCTGGACCGTGCTGAGCTGCCGGAACTCCAGCTCCTGGGTAGACTCGTGGTGCCGCAGCAGCATGGCGCACTCCAGGTCCTTCTGGATCTGCTTCTTGTTCAACTCCTGCCAGAGACAGCAGGGGGGTTAGGGAGGGTTCTGGAACGGCGGGCCCTCCCCCCCGGGCCGCTTACCTCTCGCAGCAGGTCCTGCTCCAGGTTGTGGCGAGCCAGCAGCATCTTCCTCTTGTACTGGCGACACTGCAGGTCGTAGTACTGGCGCTGGCGGCGCAGCAGGTTGGACTCCTCCTCCGCCATCATCTGCTGCATGCATTCCTTCTGATGGACCAGCCACTCCTGCTTCTCCCTCTTGGGGGTGGACTGGTTCTCGCTCAGCTCCTGCTCAGCAGGAAGGAGGAACATCTGAGACGCTGCTTCAGAACAAAGGAGGACGCGCCTCCTCCTCCTGGCCTGATCCAGGCAGCTCCTACCTCCTTCAGCAGCTCCTTGCGGTGGCGGTACTGGCGCTTCTGAGAGTCCACCAGACAGCTCAGCTCCTTCTTCTGCTGGCCCAGGATCTGCTGCTGGAACTTCTTCTCCTCCACCAGAGCCGCTTTGATCTGCAGGACAGGAAGAAGCCAAACATGTGGTGAAGCTGCGGGGAAGCAGGAATGGCGTGACGCCGCCGCCTGTGGAGGTCAACCAGCACCTCTTTCTCCAGGATGGCCTGGTTCTTCCGAGCCAGCTTGTCCAACTCTGAGGAGAAGTTGGTCCTCTGGTTCTCCAGCTCCTTGTCCAGCTTCAGCTGATGCTCGTCCATCTCCGCCTTCAGCTTGTTCTCCAGGCCCATCAGCTGCTTCTGGTGCAGCTGCCTCATCCGCTTGTAGCCGGACATCTGGTCCCGCAGCGCCGAGCCCTGCTCGTGTTCCTGGATCTGACGGGTCACCTGGAGGAGGAGGCCGCAGGTCAGACAGAACGCCCCGCCCCCAGAGCACCTTCTGAACGGACCAATCAGAGAGCGGTACCGAGACGCCCTGCATGAGCAGAACCTTCCGTTCAGATCCTAACAGACGTTCCCAGCAGGTTCTAGAGGCCTGAGGGCCACAGCAGCATAATGGCTGCCCTTAAAGGGCCACATGTAACTTAGAAATGTAACTAAATGTAACTGAATGTAATGTAAAATAAATGTAACTACTCCTAAATGTTAAATAAGTCATTATTTATCATCACCTATTCAAGTGAAAATTACAGTTGCATAGAAAACGTGTTGCTTGTTGCTCTAACATAAATAAAACATTTTAAATGTTGTCAGCTTATATAAACCAACATAACTCCATTAATGAAGGATCAAACTGTCCAAGTCAATAAAAACATAAAACTGAGCCGCACCGTATGACACGTAGCATTTTACAAAAATAAATAAAAATCTATAACAGCTTTGCATCGACTGATGGTTTGATGCAAACATTAAATAATCAAATAATTACAACAGAATCATTCACGTTTATTTACATAAATTGTACGATTTCCCCCCAAATACACGGTTCCAACAGCATGAGCAAGTTCAATTCAAGACTTTTCAAGACTTTTTAATGCCAATTAAGGCCTTAGTTTTATTTTGAAGGATTCAATGCTTTTCCAGACTTTTTAAGGACCTGCAGGAACCTGCCAACATTCCTGCAGACCATCTTTTCACATTTATGACAAACGTAATGTGGGCGTTTTATTGTGAAGATCCCGCTGCTGTTTTCTGTGCGTCGCCAAGGCTGCTTTCCTGCGGGGGAGGGGCTGGAAACCTGCACTCTGTCTGCAACTTTTTACCAGTTCAAGGATAAAATCTGTGCGTATAAAACAGGACCGACGCATTTATAGCTGATATTTCCAGGAGATTATAAATTACAGCCAAAGGTCGCCTTCGCGTCGGAGCTTTTACAGAATCCTTTCTAATCATCTGATCCAAACATCCAGCCAGACCTGCGTGGTTCTAGCAGACTACGGGACCGGTTTGGCTCCGGGCCGCTGAGTGGACCAACTGAGGTGTGGGCGGTGCTTGAACATAGTTTCACTATTGTCTGATCTGCGTTTCCCCGGCGATGGTTGATCATCCTCGGACTCGCTGTCAGGATCTGAGCCGCTTCCTGCCCAGTCCTTCTCATCGGTCTCTCCCTCTCCGCCGATGATTCGCCATCATCGATCTGTTGAAGCATTTCTAAAGCCTGTTTCGCTGTTAGGTTCCTCCTGAACGCCACTTTTTCCATATTAGCCAGAGTTCTAGGTAGAATGTTGGTTGCTAGGCAACGGTACCGAACGTCAATCAGCCGCGGGAAGAATTTACAATGGAGCTAATAGAGCCGGCTGTGGGGGATGGAGGTCAAATTAACCAGATTTAATTTATACGTTTTATTTTATAAAAAAACTAAATGAAAGAAATATAGAAACAGGAAGAGTCAGTTAATATGAGCAACATAAGATTCATTTTAAATAAAGTTCTGTCCCTTTAAAATCTCAGAACCTTCAAAATGACGGCTGAGGGCCACATCTGGCCCGCGGACCTCGAGTTTGACACGTGTTCTAGAACATTCTGGACCCACTGGAGGTCCACAGCTCACCATCACCTGGACGGGCCGGGTTCTGGGACTGGGAGGCCGGGTTCTAGTACGCCGGGTACTGGGAGGCCGGGTTCTGGTACGCAGGGTACTGGGAGGCCGGGTTCTGGTACGCAGGGTACTGGGAGGCCGGGTTCTGGTACGCAGGGTTCTGGTACTGGGAGGCCGG